ATATGTAGGTTGAAAAGAGTATGGTTACTGTTTTCATTACACTATTACAAATGTAAATTTATTAAATTATCAATAGGAAAAATTAGGAACTACTAAAAATTAATTTAAAAAATGTAAAGCACAAAATACAAAAAGTAAAGAGAAAATTTTAAAGATGAATAAAAAATGTAAAAACTTACCACAAGTGAATAAAACATAAAAACATCAGTTGGCAATTGAAAACATTTGCATTATTTTTTTTTATCTACCCGAGCAATACATTGATATGTTCTGTCTAAAAATATTCACACAGTGTGGATAGAACAGTGTCCTTAGCCATTGTCTTTTCCCAATGATAGCATCTGCTATATCCATCGCATAGTCCTCTTAACTTTCTCCTATATTTATATCAAATATGTTATTTTGTTTAACTTTTGAAAAGACTTAACCATATGTCTTAGAGTTTTTGCCTGTCAGTATGTATATATTAATACCTGTAGATTTTTTAATGCTACATAATATTACAAAGTACATATACAGGGTTGTTACTGACCTATTTTCCTTTAATAATTCTATTTATTCTAACAAAAGAGTGGATGTCTGCACTGTGCTAGATCCTGTAGAAAAAGCACTGGCAAGAAAACAAGGACCCTGGCTTCAGAAGCCATTCTATGCGCAGAGTTCCTTTTTGGGGCCAGTGTCGGAGGATCCCAAGTGTCCTTGTTCAAGTTCATTGTCTTTTCAAAAAAATTAAAGCTTTTTTTTCTCTTCAACCTCCTGGAAACCATATCTGCCGCACAGCTTCTCATAACCATCCTGCCTGTTAAAAAGCCTTTAAATTTCCTATCAGCAGCACCACTAAAACCAACGCCGTGGATTCATCACTCCCTTCCTTCTGGTATTGCTGAATTGAATGTTACTCTTTCTGCACAAGGGATGGAGGCTGGGATGGGTGGCAGCGCAGAAAGGCACCAAGCACCCCCACAAGAGTGGTGGTATCTCCTCATCCTCTGAAAGCCTGGGGCCTGGTGGGAAATACTGCTCTAAGATTCACCTGCATGCTATCAGAGGGCTGGAGCCAAACAGGATGCTATCCAGAAATTTAAGTCTATGATTTTCTTGTTTGGATAAGTAGGGACTCCAGCTCATTTTTAAATAACTGACTTTTCTTTCCATTGCTTAAGTTTGCTTCATAAAAGTTGGTTCTACCCGATAGTGACAGGAGTGAAATGCAGTGTCATGCATGCTTAGAGTCAATTTATATCTGTGGGGAAAGTTATTACTATTTTTGCCTAAACAGGCTATCTATCATTCTGGGCACTCCTACTGCCAAGAGTCTGAGATCATTTCATTTTAAATGTGGTTCTCCTTGGTTGGTCTCAGAAGCTGCGCACTTCATGGGGGTGGTGTGTGTGTGTGTGTGTGTGTGTGTGTGTGTGGTTCTCCTTGGTTGGTCTCAGAAGCTGCGCACTTCATGGGGGCGGTGGTGTGTGTGTGTGTGTGTGTGTGTGTGTGTTTGCTTCTGTGTTCATTTATTTTGCAAAACTTAGAGCCTGAGTTAAAAGTCCAACTATCTCAGATGAGAGGAAGTAAGTTTTAATCATTACTCTTCTCCAGACCCCTTTCTCATTTCCGCAGTTAGAACTTACAGACTTCTGTTTAAACATAGAGGAGGAACACATGCAATTAACAGTCTCCATACCCACCCTAAACCCTGGTAGAATGACAGAAAAGTCATATTAATACAAAGGAATAAACAATCATAAAACAAAAAGACTAAGAGAAGGGGTAGTGCTAGATGAGTGACGAATTCTGAGTATTTTTGCAAGTTGGAAAGTGGAAGCAATTTGGTAACTAGTTGAGTTGGAAGTGGTGGAATCTGGAATCTAAACATTCCTAGGAGGGGATCACAGGAAAAAGTGAGCCAGTGGTGGCAGCAGGTGTGCTGGATGGACAGGCCTGGGCTGGAAAGAGGAGGGATGGCTGAAGACATGAATACGGGTCAGTCACCCTGCCGATCTTCTCAGTCCCCATCCCACCAGACCAGCCACCTGGTCTGCAGGAGGCCAAACCCGTGGAGGGCGGAGGGAGGGCAGACATGTGACAGATGCAGACAAATATTTTATGACAGAGATAGGAGTAAATTAGGTTATATTACAACCAAGTGTAATTTTGTCTGTAACATAACTTGTTTGGGATCAAGGAATTAGGTATTTATTCTCAGTTCACACACGTTATGCAGTGTGTATGGGTTGTTTTTAGTGTTTGTGTTGTGTGTGTATTATATTTGGGGGGCATATTAATACAAAGGGTATATGTGTGTTCTATATGCTGTGTGTATGGTATGTATGTATTGTGTGTATGTGTGTTGTGTATGTTGGGTGTGTATTACGTGTGTGGGGTATATGTGTGTTGTCTGGTGTGTATGTGTGTGTATGCTGGGTGTGTGTCGTTTGTGTCGTGTGTGTAGGGGTTGTGGGTGTTGTGTGGTGTGTTTTGTGTGTGTGTGATGTGTTTGTATTGTTCCTATGTGTGTATGTTGTGTGTGGGGAGTGTGTGTATTAGTGTGTAGATGTTGTAGGGGTGTATTTGTGTCAGTGTGTGTGTGTGCAGGGTAGGTGATGTGTACGAGTGTGTATCTATGTTGGGGTGTATTTGTGTGTGGGAGGTGTGTGTGTAGGGTAGGTGGTGTATACAAGTGTGTATCTATGTTGGGATGTATTTGTGTGGGGGGGTATGTATGAGTGTGTGTGTATGTTCTGTGTGTATATGTTGTGTGTGGTGTGTGTTGTATATGTTGCATTTGTGGGGTCTGCACTTTGCCACCCTTATTTCAGCTCTTCTGCAAGAGCTTTTCTCTCATTTCAGTTGGTCTTCTAATTTTTTGTATACATGGTAGCCACAATTTCATTTTCTGAGTATGTATCTTAATTGAAGCACGTTTGTATTCCTTATCCTTTGCTGAGATAAGTCCTGGCCAGCCTGCCCGTGCACAGCGTTCCCTTTGGACCCGGAGGTTCTTGATCTCCCGCACTGTTAGCCTGTACCATTCTGGCACTTGTCATATGTTACCTTGGATTGTTGGTTTACTGTAAGTAAACATATTTTCTGCCCAACTAGAATTTGTTTCCTACTTTTTAATTTTTGGCTTATTTAATCTCATTTCTGCATAAGAAGATGAGGCATATTTGTTTTACCTGATTTTATAACAACTTGGTTTTAAGAAGAGGGGGTGGGAAGCAGCTACCTCTGTTTTTTTGTAGATGAACTGATCCCAGATCATGTATTTCAGTTTTACACTCATCCTACCTTTTATGGACTCCAAGTTTATCCCTGCATATTTATGTGCTGATCTAAGACTTACCATTGTGGAGTTCACACACTTCTTTGGCAAAGAAGTCCTCAACAGATCAGTTTTTTTCTTCGGCAGTTTTATTTTGAAATATTGTTAGATTAAATCAGAGTTGCACAGATAGTATCTGGAGTATCTTTTCCAGTTTAGGTAATACATAAATATATTTGTTAACTAAAATGGAAACTACATATTATTTTGCAACCTTTCTTTATATCTAAAATATATGTGGGCATCATTTGTGTCAATACATACCTATGTAATTATTCTTAATGTCTGCAAAGAAATTATATGTGTACCATAATCTGATTAACAACTTATTTATGCTGTTTTTATATTTATGCTATTTATAATTTTTTACTCTAACAAAATTCAGTGAAGCTAAATACAGTTAAGTACTTGCATATTTCCCAGTTCTTTCCTTGCTGTATGCTTCTAAAAGAGAAGTTCCTGAGTTGAAAGGAATGTAATTTTAAAGACTTTGAATGCACTTACCAGATTACCTTTGCTAGGTTTTGCCTGCCCACCACATGCATGTGAGAGCCCTCATTGCATTTGACTCCTAAGCACATTGGGTGTTATCTTTTTCATGTTTTCAAACTAGTTGACAGAAACTGTTATTTTCCTTTTCCATTGATTTGTATGTTTTTGATTGCTAGTGAGCATGAACACCTTCTTTTTCTCCCCAGTGTTCAATAACTTAATATGAGATGTGAAATAAGTGACTTCCTTGAGTCTTAATGAGTGGTAGGGATGGTGAGTGTGGAAAGCCCCATAGAATGACCTTCAGGGACTTGAGGAGACTGGGGCTCTGGCAGATGGGACCTCAAGGAACAATTGCAGAAAAATGCATGAAGAGGCTTTGGGAGACGTGAAAATGCAGAGCCTCCCCTTGGTCAGAGTGGTTTTGAGGTGCTCAGAGGACACGCAAGTGGAGATTTTCAATGGGAAGTTACACACAGGAGATGGGAACTCATGAGTTTTGGGCTGGAGAAAGGATTTAGGAATCATAAGCGCACAGGGATTAGAAAAGGTCATAGTTTTGGAGGAGACCTGGGGCAGGCAAGGAGGAACACAGGGTGGCAGAGATGAACAGGGAGAGCAGAGCAGAAGCAGGAGAAAGGCAAGGGAGTCACTTACCAAAACCCTCAAACTTCATGCCTCAGAAGGTAAATGGGATTCAGTATTCAGCCTCAAAGTATAGATGACACTTAAATTGGCTTCTTGTTTGACTTAATCCATTCATTTTGGCTAATGTAGATCAGTTTCAGTGGCAAAAATGAAGAAGTGTTTCACTGCTTTACAGCTTTATTAAATTTTAGATACCAACTTCCTTCACTTTCTTTTTAATTTGAAAAAGAAGACAAATCAGAACTATTTTCTTCGTTGCATCTATTTCTTCTCACTGACCTTCACAAAACAGCCCAGGTACACACCTTCCCCTCATGCCCACGTTGGAACAGATGTCCATTTATCCATTCTAGATGAACTGTTGTTCGTCTTTTCCAAACCTTACTTTCCAGGCTATATCTTGGTGTCTTGAGATTCCGGTAGAGGTTGCCTGGAGGGGATGAACACTCATGCTGACGCTGTGCCCTGAACCTCGGCTGACACTTGAAGTCAGAGACATCTTCCTTCTGAGCCTCCTTCGTTCTTTGTCCCTTCGCTCTGGCCCTTTTGGCTTCACCTCCTGTTCTGCTCCCCAGGCCCGATGTTCTTACTGCTGGGTCCTCGGCAGGACTCTGTGCTCTTGACTCTGCTTCACAAAGCTCCAGGTAACTCCCCTATCCACCCATCTGCAGCTCCTGAATGAGGCCACCACTTAGCAGTTCTCCTGGGAGACAATTTGGCCTCCCACAGGCTGTTGGGACCATTATCCCTAAGGATGCTCCCTCGAGGTGGTAGTAGGGTCTTCTTGACCCTCTAACCAGTGATGATGCACAAACTAGGTAGCAGTTCTCAATGAACTGGTTCACTCACTTAGTCACGACATGCGCCTCCTCTCCTTTGAGCTCACTTGCTGTGCTACGCTTCTACCGCAATGGGCAAACCACCACCACACCCACTTCTTTGACTTGATCTCTCCCTTGTCACTCTGTGATGATGGAACGTCACTCCAATCAGTGCCTCCCGTCCTTGCTAACATTCCAATTCTCTGATCCCTTTCCCTCTGTTGTGATTTATTACCACACTCTGATTACAGCCACTCTCCAGCCCTGGTTACCCCATGGGGCCAACCCATCAGCTCTTCCACACCTTCACCTGATAGAAGCTACAGGTTACCTGGGAAAATGATATGCCAGGTAGAAGGGTTTCCATGAAAATTCATGACCACAAGCCCCTTGTGAGCCCTCCATACACCCTCAAGCTGCCACTACATTCTCCAAAATATTTCCTACTTTCAACACCTCTTGATATTCTTACATCCCCTCCTCTCTAATACCCTCTCTTGTAGATGCCAACCTTGACTTTTAAGCAACAAGATTGAAGCTCCCTCATCTTCCCTACAACAAAGCTACACACCTACCTGCCCCTACATCCTGTTGTAGGATTCGGACACCGCTGATGTTCTTCAGAGGCGGCCTGCTCCCTCTGATGTGCACTATCTTCTCCATCCTACTTGTTCCAGGTTTGTATTTCTGAAGTTACTCTGTCTCCGCTGTGTATTATCTCTCCCTCCTTCTCTACTGGCTTATTCCCCTGGGCACTCAAACGGGCTATTTTGTTGCCCACCTTTAAAAGGAACTTTTATTGACCTGTCCTATATTCCTCTGGCTGTAACACTATTTCTCTGCTCCTCTTCACAGCAGAACCTCTTGAAAAAGTTTTCTACATGTTTTACTGTAGCTTTATCAATGGATATTTACTTGTTATTTTTTAAAATGTGATATATATTGTGAAATATAGCATGAATTCAGGAGTAAAACAAATGTATTTGTTTACACATACAAATTTGTTATTTAAATATAAGAAATATTTAGAAACCCATGTCTAAAATAGAAGGTCTCCAGAACTTTAGAAATCTCCTGTGTGACGTTCCTAAGGAACATACCTTTGCCTGCCCCCACAGAAATAACCACTTTCCTGAACTTTGGGATAATCATCCCTTTCTTTGTATGTCCCCCTAAACTATACAGTTTTCAGTTCATCTGCTACCTGTTGAGATGAGACTGTAGCCCCTGTTGTGATCTCGATTGCAGCCTTATCGGAGACCCAAGCCACGGGATCTGGCTGAGCTGTACCAGACCCAGAGAAGCTGGGAGAACGTAAAGAGTGTTCTAAGCCACTAATTCTGGGGTAATGAGTTATCAGCAGTGGAACGAACAGTCCACGATATAGTAAGCTGCTTGCATCTGTTTCTAGGGAATCATTTGGATTTAAGAGAAGTAAGGCCAGAAATCATTTTGAACAGAAAGTTCAGGAACAGGAAAGCACAGAGATCTGAGTGGCGACTGATTAAAAAAACCAATGTTAGATTAGAAATTACTCTTAGTAAAATGAGTTACTCCAAAGTTGATTTAAAAAAATGGACCCCTCTGCATCCAAGAGATCTTCATACCAAGTACTCTAAGTTGGAAACTAACAGTGAGACTCTTAATGTTTTACTTCCCTGCGCAAGCCCTGTGACTTGTTTATAGAATCTAAACATTTTCCTGGACAGACGCTGTCGTTTTTTAAAACAGCCTATTATCAATACTCTTTTAAATAGCTTTCTCCCCTTAGGTGTGTGTTTTAATTTTTGACATGAGCTGCACTTTTTCCTTCTTGCTGAGCATCAGAATGTCCCATCTTCCCTACTTGATTGTGTGAGGTCCCTCCTTCCCTGTGACCATGGGGAAAGTCATGGAAGGACTTCAGAATCTGTGGTCTTTATCCCACAATAATATATAACAAGAGGATGAGGGAAATACCTTTAACTGAAGTAGATACATTGATATCATGTCAAGACAAGTTACAGACTGAGACTGTTAGAGTGAAACAACAAGGAAGTATGGTGACCTTATAAATGAGCTCCTGTTTGTTTATTATTTGTAAGTGTATGGACAAAATAATTTCTTTGTTCCATATGGGTCAGGGGTGGTGATAGTATCATAGAAAAAAAATCTCTTTGCAACCCATCTGGTTGGGAGCATGCATTCAGGCTTCATTTTGGATAACATAGATAGAACTTGTGCCCAGGACTCAGGGCCCTCTTCTCTTTGTACACTGCCCAGACGAGGCAGGAAATCTGGCACCCCTGGCTCCTGCCTAAATGTCAGTGGTCCCTCTTCAATAATTGTGACAATCAGAAATACGCCCACAAATTTTTTGAAATGCACTTCTGAGTGGTGGCATCCTCACTGAAAATTGCTGCTCTATTGTATCTTAAAAATTCATCACCAAGTCCTACCGACTCTATTGTCAACACAAATCCTGCCATTCATAGTGTGTGATTAGTCCTTGAGTAAGACTCCCCCTTCAGCTCAGGAAAGGAGCATAAAACTTAGCCTAAGTCAGCGGGTACATTATATTCATCTGGCAACAATGGTTGGCTGGAGGTACATGACCCAACTAGAGCCAATGCCACATAGTGGGTTTTTTTGCCTACTGTCTTAGGAAAGAGACTCTGGTCTTCCTGGCCAACTGGAATGACAGAGGACCTAAGGTGTGGGCTGCTATAGGAATTTTGCATCTTTGGGAGCCTGCAATCAAAATCAACCGAGTGGAATGCATGGTGGCCCTGGTTCTCCCTGGATGCTGCTCTCCATGCCCTAGGTCCGGCTAGATTTGAGGAGGAGCAAGCAAACTGCATTTCTACTTTATGGTTGGTCCAAGGGGGGCTTAACAGCGTGGTCCAGGGAGAACTATGCAATCTGTGATGCTTGTACTTTCATAGAATAGTTTCACTGCACTGCCTTGATGCCTGAACCAGTTGTGTTGCCAAGGCTACATCCTCTACCTTAAGGGAGGGAAGAAAAAGCAGGGTCCCCACGCAGGTACACGAAAACTTCCCCTAACTACTGTGTGTTCTGTCTGCCTCCCCTCAACTAGAATGCCGTCTTTCTAAGGGGCAAGAGTTTGCTCCTGTTTTGTCCACATCTGTATTCCTCCTGCCTAGGACCATGCCACCGAGAGGGAAGGAAAAGTAAGGCTTGGTTTCCTGGTTTTCTATATTTGCCACCTAAATGGTGTTCATTGATGTCCATTCCCCTTTCTTTTTTTTAACTTTTTATTATGGAAAATTTCAAATATATATAAAGTAAAGAAAATACAAATGAACCTCCTTGTACCCATGGCCCAGCTTCACGGTTATCATGGCCAGCCCAGTTCACAAGTACCTAGTCCATTCCCCTTCTGTGCCTCAACTACATTATATTAAGGCAAATCCCGGAAGACTTCCACACACTTCTTTTACCAACTCTTCCCTCATGTCTGGGACCCTCCTTCCTGCTTATGGTCTCTTTTCTTTCTAGCCACTCCTCATTAGCCTCTGTTCTATGGGGAGCTCTGGGGCCATCCCCGCTGGAGGTCAAGGGGATGGGTCTTTGTCACCCGCCCCCGCTCACAGGCTGCTGTTGAGTCAGAGCTGCTCCCCAGGGGGGCATGAGCTTGGGAGGAGCCCTCTTCAGCTGGTGTAGAGTGGCGCTTAGTGGCTCACCGTGGCGTCTGCTGTTTATGCCACCACATTCATTGCCTTCTTAGAATAGTTCTGGCTTTAAAGACTTTGCTTGGTCATTTCTCCTTAGAAGTTACAAGAAGAAAATCGATAAGATGTGCCTTAGCACCTCTAGGCTGCTATAGCGGAATCCCAGAGACTAGGGGTTTGGAAACAACAGAAACCAATTTCTCACAGTTCTGGGGGCTGAAAGTCTATGATCAAGGCCCCAGCAGATCTGGTGTTTGGTGAGCATTTGCTTTCTGGTTCATAGGCCGCTGGGTTCTCATGGTGTCCTCACATGGAGAAGGGGCAAGAGAGCTCTCTGGGGTTCCTTTCATAAGGGCCCTAATCCCATTCATGAAGTCTGTACCTTCTTAACCTAATCACTTCCCGAAGTCCTCACCTCCTAATACTATTGCTCAGGGGGTAGGTTTCTCATATGCATTTTGTGGAGGCATGGACCTTCAGTCCAGGGCAGGATGAAGTACAGACTGCCGCTGATCTTGCGTCTGTACTTGGGACCATGCCACTGAGAGTCACCCGACAGCCACTGTCTTCTCCTCTACTGCACTTCCAGAGTGCCCTCCCCTTGGTTGACAGGTCGGTTGGTAAAAGTAGCTTACCGGGTGAATGGACCTTTGTTTTCTGGAGGGGTAAGCCCCTGGCCACAATGCCCTTCTTAGGCTATGGCTGCTGCATTTGTCCACTTACCTCGGTATTGGTCATGAGACACCAAGAGACAACCTGGTGGATTCCCTGGGGACCACACGTATTCTTTGCCCTGTCGTGTCAAAGCAGGGCATTCCTCCTGATGGCCACGGGCAAGCCCTCTGCCTCATGGTCACTCTTCTCCTTGCCTAATGGCCTCACAGCATGAGGAGATGAACGAGCCAGGCACTCTGTGCTTGAGTATTCCACTTTTCTGGGACCCTAGATCTGTTGGGCAAAGGTTCCACTTGCTGTCATGGCACCTGAGGACTTGACTGCTCTTTAATAAGTGGGTCTGTGCCAGAAGACCCATCAGGTTGAGGTTTGTTTTATCACCTCTTCCACCATCTGTGACAATAGTTCTAGCATTTCAGCTTGCCTAAGTACTGGCATAATTTTCTCCAAAGTTCCAAGAGTCCTCCTAGCAGTGTGATGCTACCATTCCCAGGGTCCTTGTCTGGCTGGCAAATCACATATCACATTAGACAGCGCCCGTGTCAACAAACGCACCCCCATCCAGCTTTCTCTTTCACCCCCTGGGATCCATCACCCTCAGGGTCCAGTCGCATGGCCAGTCTCTGTGTCGGCCAGGGCAGGCAGGATGGGTCCTGCAGTCCCTTGGGGCTTAGCTTCTTTTCTTCCCTTAGCAGGCTGGCGCTTCTCCGCGGCATGCTGTTTGCACGAACTCGAACTGCTGGTCTGGTGGGAGTGGGGGTGGGGAAGGGGGAGATGTTCAGGGGCCTGTGCCGCCTTGGAACGCAGAGACTCCGCCTCCTGTTCAGCTGAGGGATGGGCCCAGCCCCAACGGGGAGAGAAGGCCGCCTCTGCAGGCCACACAGGCTCCAGGGGGCTTGCTGGGTTTCAGTCCTCAGCGTTAACTCTGATGCCCCCTCCAAGTCACGGGTCCCAGTCATCCCAGCCAGGCCCTTGGCATTGAGAACAGATTTGCCAGGGCTGAGGATCCAACCTCTCTGGATCACTGCTATTCCCGTCAGTCCTGGTCATTGTCCTCAGCTCTTCCTGTCCTCCAGCTGGGGGAGACGGGCACGTCCACCAGCGAAGCTTTCTGTCTTTCCCACTTTGCTTTCCAGGGATGAATCACAGCCCTGAGGCCTACACGGTGGTCTTTCTCTAATGCATTGTTGTGCCCCGTTTCCTTGAGTCCCCCTGGTGGAGCTGCAGTCACCAGCCTCAGTCGTGAGATGTAAGAGCAAAACAGGTCTTTATTGCTAGTTCCAACTAGGGTCTCAGTGGCCCGTCAGAACACAGGACTCGGTCTGAGA